GTGCCCAGGGCAGAGGGCCAGACCTGGAGTGTAGACAGGGGTATGCACCCAGCAGCTGCAGCACCCACAGTGTCCAGGGCAGGGGGCCAGACCTGGAGTGTAGACAGGGGTATGCACCCAGCAGCTGCAGCAGCCACGGTGCCCAGGGCAGGGGGCCTGATCTGGAGTGTAGACAGGGGTATGCACCCAGCAGCTGCAGCACCCACGGTGCCCAGGGCAAATAACACAATTAACAGTAGACACCTGCCTCTGACCATGGCTGAGCCTGCTCSTTCATAAAGTAGACCTCTTGCTCCTCTGGAGTCCCTGGTGTGGGAGCCCAGGGCTAGGGCTATCCAGGCCTCCTCAGCTACCGTGGCTCCCAGTACTCAGTGCACCTAGGGCCATCCTATCAAGGTGGTGGAAAGCCCCTGCCTAGGAGTGTGGAGGAGCAGCCAGGGCCCTGTAACCTGGCCCCAGAGAAACCCCATGGCCTGAGCATGGGCTGAGCAAGGCAGTCTGGGGAGGTGGGAGGAGGAGATGCACATGCACCGCACACCACACTCCCTGATCACAGCGGGGCCCTGGTGAGACCCCTTGCACTCAGGTGGACACAGGTGGGATCAGATGAGGTCCAGGTGGCTGCGGGTGAGAGTCCTACCTTGGAAGAAGCTCTTCACCCTCAGGTAGCTCACACTGAGGCGCAGGACAGAGAGCTTATCCAGCTTGGCGATGACGTCGGGGGGAAAGGGCAGCAGGCTGGCCAGGTGGTCCAGCTCTGCATTCAGGCGGTCCCGGTGCCTCTTGGAAGGGTTTGACTTCTCGGCCCCCAGGGCAGGCCTCCTGTGGGAAAAAGACCACATTAGGCAGGAGCCTCTGGCCTCAGGGGCGGGAAACCTGGTCTCTGGAGTTGCCTTGCTAGGAACATGAGCAGAGGAGCCGCAAGTGCTGACGAGAACTGAAACCCCTTCCTGAAGACGCACAGGAGGCCAGTGCCCAACGCCTCAGGCTGCAGCTTGGGGACGAAGACCAGCACCGGGCTGGGGTCRTAGCTCAGTAGCAGAGCGCTTGCCTCGCACATGTGAGGACTGGGTTTGATCCTCAGCACCACGTAAAAAGTAAGTAAATAAAATAAAGGTCTCGTGTCCATCGACAATTAAAATATTWAAAAAAAGACCAGCTGCAGAGGACAGCAGGGCAGGGGAGGGTCACATGCTGTTCACCTCCCTGTGCCACAGCCCAGCAGGACGAGGACGCCTGGCCAGGCTGTCTGGGCAGAGACGGTGCGTGGAAAACCTGTGTTCACGCCACCTCCTGCAGTGGTCCCTGTGGCCTGACAAGGCCGATGCCTTCCAGGAGAAAGGGAGTCCCCCCAGGTGGTGAGCCCAGACCCACCCTGGGCATCTCTGACCACCCTGGGCGCTCTCCTCGGCAGCACCGGAGGTCCGTGCTCACAGGCACTGCCCCACCTGGGAAGAACCAGCACGTCACACCCTCGGGACAGCCATGCGGCCAGACACCTCTGGCCACCAGAAGGACAGTGATCCCAGACCCACCGCACCAGCAGCGGAGCCCAACGCACAACACACACCATCCCATCTGCACAAAATGCCAGGAGATGCAAACTCGCCCACAGCAGCAGGAAGCCGGCCAGAGGCTGCTTGGGGCAGAGGTGGAGGGTCCCCGAGGGGCACCGGGAGACCTGGAGTGATGGGAGTGTCCCAGGGCAGCGGGAGACCTGGAGTGACGGGAGTGTCCGAGGGGCACCGGGAGACCTGGAGTGACGGGAGTGTCCGAGGGGCAGCGGGAGACCTGGAGTGACGGGAGTGTCCGAGGGGCACCGGGAGACCTGGAGTGACGGGAGTGTCCGAGGGGCACCGGGAGACCTGGAGTGACGGGAGTGTCCGAGGGGCACCGGGAGACCTGGAGTGACGGGAGTGTCCCAGGGGCAGCGGGAGACCTGGAGTGATGGGAATGTTCGTGATCTTGATTCGAAAATGGTGTCGTCGGCAAGGCTCCATCAGCCCATTCACTTCATCCGCTGAACTGAAACATGGACTTCAGTCACATCCCAGTGAAGAGGGAAGCAGCACACTTCCAGGCTGCTCYGAGCTTCGGACACTGTCCCTGGGGAGGCTCAGCCACCCCAGAGGACGGGAAGTGGAGAGAGGAGCACGCTACCAGTTGTTCCAGGCATTTCACMTCTGGAGAAAGTTGCGACTGAGAGTCACATGGCCCCCCAGGGCCAGCGCTGCCCTGCCCTGTGCCTTGGGGTGCTCAGGAGCATCTCCACACGTCCCTCTGTGGCTGTGTGCCAGCCGACACTCCACACCTCACCACCTGCCCTTTCAGGAGGAGATGGCACAGGCAGACCTGAGCCCACCCACGTACAGACCAGGATGCCAGGCCACACCTAGCCACAGCCCTCAGCCCTGGCCAGGAGGCCAGAGCCCCTGCAGATGTGGGCAGCCAGCACCAGCAGGGGCTGCAGGAGGGGCTCTCTGGACGCCAACAACAGAGCCAAGTCCAGCTGTTTCCCAGAGTATGTCTCCCACAGGATGGACACGGCCACCTTCACAGGGACGCCCACCCCAGACCAGCTGGCCTCAGCCTCCGCACTGCACAACAGCCGGAAAGCGTGTGAGCATGAGCAGCTGCTGAGCTCAGAGCCCCAGAGCTCCCTGCTGGAGTGTGGTCTCCACTGAGGCCCTGGGCCTCCATGTGGGACCTCGGGGCCKGGGGGAGGTCCTAAGGCCACACTCTCCAAAGGGCTTGATGGAGTCCTTCCCCACGCTGACCTCCCCCTCCCACATAGGCCTCCACCATGACCCATCCTGCCAGAGCCAGAACCACGCCTTGGACTCCCAGCCTCAAAATGTGAGCTGCACCAACCTTCATTCTCTATACATTACCCAGCTCAGGCACTTTGTTTCAGTAAAAGAGAGCAGACTAACACAGTGACTGTCCACATGACCCCTCAAGCCACAATTCCACATTGCCCAGTACCCCCTCAGGTCAGTAAAGCCATTCAGGGAGAGTCCAACCGCTTAAAGGTCTAAATTTTTTTTTAAAAAAAGTGTGTGTGTGTGTGTGTGTGTGTGTGTGTGTGAGAGAGAAGATAAAACAGGGAAATCCTCTTAACTGGAAACACAGAAGCTCTTTGTAATCAGACGTAAAGTTTAATCACCCACAAAGGAAAGGTGATCAACTCAGCTCCACAGAAGTTCAAGTTTTCTGGATGGCAAAGATTCCAAAAGTGAAGTGGGAATTGGGGAAAGTAGACCCTCCTAGAGAGGACAGGAGGGTCCCCGATGCCCAGTAAGAAGCACAAAACCATGAATCGTCTCTCAGGAAAATGAGCACAGGTTTCCACCCAGAGTTCACAGCAGAGGAGACAGAGCAGCTCTAGGCTTGGCCCAGAAGAGACGCGGCAGCTCTAGGTCTGGCCAGGGATGAGGCAGCAGCTCTAGGTCTGGCCAGGGATGAGGCAGCAGCTCTAGGTCTGGCCAGGGATGAGGCAGCAGC